CTCTGGCTACGTCTGCTGCCCACTTCTAGGGAAAGACACTGGGTCTAGGTCACATCCCCAAAAGGAAAGGCATAGAGGTATGGGGTGGTCTGCCCTCCACAGGCAGTGTCATTGGTCCTGCCCCGAGTAGAGGCCCAGAGAGCAGAGGCCCTGAGCATAGAGAGGCCAAGAGAGCAGAGACCCAGAGAGTGGAGACCCTGAGCAGAGAGAGGTCTAGACAGCAGAGGCCCTGAGTGGAGGCCCAGAGAGCGGAGTCTTGGAAAGCGGAGGCCCAGAAAGTAGAAGCCCTGAGCGGAGGCCCTGAGCAGAGAGAGGCCAAGAGAGCGGAGGCCCAGACAGCAGAGGCCCTGAGAGAAGAGGCCCGAAGAGCCGAGGCACAGAGAATAGAAGGAGGGCAATTGCTATCTCTCTCTCCTGCTCAGTGAACACCTCCCCTGCCTGAAAGCCTCACGTGAGAGCAGCTGAAGTTCCAGCTAAGGGATTAGACACTAATCCCTTCTAATGGACAGCTTTGGAATCGGACCTCTGGGAGTCCATGGTGGAAATGTGGTTATATCTAGTCCCCAATTTCAGCTCACTTCCAAAACAATGAATGAGTACAAACATTAAGCAGGCAGAGATTAGTCATCTTGGAGGCCACTGAAGATAGACCCCCTTCCTCATGGCTGACTTTGGACCCTTTTTTTCTCTGCTAACACTAGAAAGGAAAACATTACAACTGCCTCTCCTTAGGCCGTCTAGTCAAAAGAATGGAATACCTCTGGCCCTGAGAGGAGATATAACATTCTGATCTCCTCCAAAGACTACAACATTATATACTATGCTGTCTCTTCCCTTGAGCTTGGCCTGTCAGTCACACGGCCAGAGTCTACTCTCCAGGAAAGCTCATTCACCTAATAAAATACTGAGGAGATGGGAGGAATAATTATCCCTTAATGAGATAATGTGCTCACTTATACTTCCATAAAGTCTCTCCCCTGATGCATTGCTTGCACATCTTCACTGCTAAGCTGCCTGCTTTTTGAGTTCTAAACTCCAAAAGTATAATTTTTCCTTCTTTTTCTGTGCCTTTTTCCAAAAGTTCAGGCATGTTTTCCCCATCTAAGTGTGCACTCCCTAGCATCCTGCTTTCTCGCTCATCCTCTGAAGCCCCACACCCCACTTTTCTGCCCTGCAGTTGCTTGCCAACCTCCCTCCACTTGCGACCATGCCAGGTCTCATGGACCCCAACTCCGAGGGCATGACCTTCCCTCTTCATTCTTCTCCACCTACGCCCATTCAGCAGCTGCCAAAATTTACGGCTGGAATGTACTGTTTTTCTTTCAAACGCTAATAAAATGGTCCCTGAGCTTCCCTCTGAGTCTGTTTTTAAATTCTTTTATTAATGGGACAGCTAGCCTAAGGAGGGACCCCAGTTTCCCTGGATGTCCCTGCTACTCTAAAGAGGGCTTAGGAAGAGCCAGCTTCTGTGGGAACCTGGGGGGACGTGGAAGGCGGGGCTCCCCTGGGAAACAGCCAGTTCACACAGTGTATGAGGTGAGGCGACATTGATACAGGAAAGAGGACAGGGCTCAGAGAGGTGAACGGGATGTAGCAATAACAAAACCATGTATCATCCCAAACTAGTCTATTGTTTATAATGCTTCTAAGGTTCTTATTTCTATCCATTCACGTGTGACTGTGCCTGAAGCAACATTGCTGTTTGTGAACAAGTGCTCCCTCGCAGTGTGCTCCCTAACCATCCTCCCCTGAGTCTGATACTCAGTCTGGGAGACACTAGAGTTGTAGCCAACCATGGCTCTGCAGTCACACAGATTAATATCAGCCCTTCCTTGATACACTAAATCGGCTGCTTCCTGATTTCACAAAAGTTTCTAAAATATCTATTTGGCTTTCCAGATGTTGATGTCCTCTAAATTAAAATTTTCTTGTAATTGGCTTTATTTTTTTCCCTGCAAATAACTGAATAGAAAAGAAAGCAGGTTCGTGTCTTCATGGTAAAAAGCAGCAGACACCAAAGATAGTTTTTTTTCTGATTTTGCCTCACAGCAGACTGAAGTGATTCAGACATAGCAGAAAAGGCCTGCAGGGTCATTCTGTATGAGAAGGAGGTGGGCATGGCGCTCCCTATAGACATAGACAACAAAGAGCATCTCACTTCTGTGAGCCAAGCTGGTGAGGAGGCCAACCTCAAGGGGCTTCTTTATAGGAGGCCAAATCGTGTCTCTGAATTAATGACTGCAATTATGGAACTTAGCACAGCTACAAATAACATATTGGAAACATTCAGGCAGCTAGGGGTGAATTCCCCTGTCCTGACTTCCACACTCCTACTAACCTGCATTGTGCAGAAACCTCTTGCCCATGTGATTATTTTGCTAGGAGTATTTTAGGGAGGGCAGTCGAAAGCAATGGCAGGTTACAATAAGAACCTTGCTGCAAACAGGGTTGTGATGGCCACATAAGAAGCTGGCTCTAGGTTGTCACTTCTAATGCCAAATTAAACTATAGCCCAGAAAGTGCACAGGCTATCTATCTATCGATTGATCTATCTATCTATCTATCTATCTATCTATCTATCTATCTATCTATC